ACGATCCCCAAAGTCCACCATCAGGGGACTCCTAGCAGCTCTTTTAATCTGAGCTCTCATGTCCAACTATAAGAATATTGCTCAATTTTCATATCACCAACACCAAACGATTGGTTTTAACTGTAGCACTAAATATGACTCATTTAGGATTAACTTCCCCAAAAGACTAATTGTACTTGTTACAACCTATTAAGAACCATATAACTCTCTCTTCTTTAACTGTCCTAAAGGAAACTTTTACCACATAGGAAATGAAAATTTATCGCAAAGGAAAATTTTTAAAAAGAATAGAATGATCTTCATGTCCCAACTTCAATAATTATCTGTGAATAAGTCAATCTTGTTTAATCGATATCCCCTTTCCTAATTATTTTGAAGCAAACCCTTCGCATCCTTATTAGCTGTTCTACAATATGTCAGGATGTATCTCTAGAAGATACGGACCGTTTCCTTAATATGGCAAAAATCAAGATTACACTTACAATTAACAATGATTCTTTAATATTTTGATGTACCCATACTATGTCTGTGCACCCCAATTATCTCAAGGAGATAATCCATGATACAGTTTTCAATATTCAAAGAAAGATCATACCTGGTGATTGGTTGATATGTTTCTCATAATTTTTAATTTTAAAAAAATTTTCTCCCTGTATCTGATTTTTTTCTTAATGCAATTTATCTCTTGGGTAAATTAGGTTGCTTGACCTGTAGCATTTCACAGCAAGTAACTTCTGTAGATTATATCCATGTGTGTAGAATAGACTACTTCCTGCGTGGCGCTGTGTTCATCAGTAAATGATCAATGTTCTGGTCGACTTACAGCATTAGCAACTGCTATAATGTTCATCGCTGGGATGTCAACATTGTGAGAAACCAGAAAACTCACTATAGTCGATCCTAAGTGAAAGCCTCATCTTTTTTTTTTTTTTTTAACATTTTATTAGGGGCTCATACAACTGTTATCCCAATCCATACACACACCTCAATTGTGTAAAGCGCATTTGTACATCGTTTCTCAAAACATTTTCTCTCCATTTAAACCCCCGACATTAAGTCCTCATTTTTCCCCTCCCTCCCCGCTCCCCCCTCCC